GCTCAACCTCCAAAATTTGTGGTCTCTCAATTCCTTTCCATATAGGAAAACTTTGCCAGGTGTACTTCATGGGATTGTCCACCTCTTGGTTTACCTTGCTCCCTCCTGTGGGTTTTCCCATGGGAGATGGCAGTCTGGGTCGAGGAGAGGAAGGTACAATGTGATTTATTTTTTCATATACGCCGTGGGGGATAATATGTAATAGTAATCACAGTACAACATCTCACACACTTTGCAGAAAGCATACACTTGCTTTGACCTCCATGCTCTAGTAAGGTTCCGTGGTTAGTGAGTTAAACGTAAGAGCGGAAGGGGAGGATCTCTATGCCAATCCCTTCACCCCTTACCCATGAGTTAGTCCCATTGGAGTCAATAGGGCTAATCTTGTGAGTAAGATGAACAGGATTTGGAACCTGTCTGAGACATTGCCAACTTAAACATAGCTACATTTTTGGAAAAGCAAAGACCTATTCATGGCATTATCTAGGGATGGTGTGTGAGACTTACATCTCTTATGTATGTATGTAGCTATTTTGCCTTGGAAGTCAGTAGATCTTTTTATAAGTGATTCATTATGTACATTTCTCATCAACAGTGTGTGTGATATAGTGAGCTGGGCACCATTGAGTGAAATTCCTCCCCCGTCCTCTATCAGTTAAAAAACATGCAAATAAATGCTTTGCTATGTATGTGTGTTACATAAAAGTTCAGCCGTGTGCAAGATTAGGTGTATGGATATTAAACTATTATAATTATTCACATTTCAGTAACATTTGTATATAACTGAAGGTTTTGTGGTGGGGAGAAGAAGCCCATGGAAATCCAGTTTAGCTTAAGAACGATAAAGATGGGTGTTTACAGCATTTAAATCACTTGAAATGATAGTTATTTGTCCAAGCATAGTACACATAATAAGACAGCACAGCAAAGTTTCCAGGGAGGATCTAGCACATGCTTTCAATTAGAAGTCAGACTGCAGCAGAAGAAAAGGAGTGTGAGCAACATTTCTCCATGACCTCATTAGGATATTTCTCAGCTAACCTACGTATGCATGACTGAACAAGTGAAAAATAGTACAGTTGGGTTCCAAGCTACAAGGCATCTTCTTCTGATTTATTTTCCTGTATTTAAGGACTTCTGTCTGAACAAGGTTTCCAAGTCTGCGTTAGCAATGTAAATGGAGGACTTGGGTGAAATCCTGCAACCCTCTCGGCCAAAAGTTACTCCGACTGATCCTGCGAACTCTTATGCATGTGAGCAGTCCCATAAATTGCAGGATCGTGGCCTACAGTTACTGAAAGTACTATGGCATGTCTTGTACCTGTTAATTTTTAAAATTATATAATGTGTGCAAATATTACAAATGAAATTATGCTGGCTTCAGTTTACATGTAAAACCATTTGGGTATTTTCCACATATTTAGAATGCAGATGCATAAAGCAGAGGGGCCTGTACTTAGCTGAATTCATAGTGACTAATCGTATAAGATCAGCAGCTTTAGGCTGCATGTTTGTAGTGAGTGAGAACGTTTATAGCGATTTATTCGTGCATATATAGTCCTTATTCATGCTTGTAGGCAAAGGCTGTCCTGGAGCTCTCTCTGTGGCAGTGCAGATTTGCATGATCCTAAAAGCAGACCCATGTGCTAATCATGCAGTCTGACCACAAATTGGCACTTGTCAGTCACTGAGAGGAAGCATTATTTTCAGAGGTAACAAGTGAGCATGGATGGCTCTTACAGGCTTTCGGTAGAAAAGCAAAAGGGTAGGAGTTTTCGCTGCCTCTCATCACTCCTAATCTCCTTCCTCCCCACTCCGCTTCTTTTCTTCTGTTACGTTGTTTAAGGTTTTAATAAAAATGTTTTTTATTGTGCTAAAAGCTATAAAGCCTTCTGTTCCAGTTTTCTAGTAGGTTTTTGTATTTGGTCTGTAGCTGATTCTTTTCCAAGATCTAGAGCAGGGGTCGGCAACGTTGGCATCGCTCGCCCGCGCCGCTTCTCGCCGCCCCCATTGGCCCGGGACGGCGAACCGCGGCCAGTGGAGGCCGCGATCGGCCGAACCTGCCGCGTCAGCAGGTAAATAAAACTGGCCCAGCCCGCCAGGGTGCTTACCCTGGCGAGCCGCGTGCCGAACGTTGCCGACCCCTGATCTAGAGGTTAGAAACATGTACTAGAGGTGAAATCTCTTGCTTATGATGGAAAATCTTGGTGGATGCATGGAGCTGTAGAACCCCCTACTGGGTGGCCTGTGAAGTTCCAGAGACTAAAAATCTCATCTGCCATTTCTGATGAAAGAATAGACATTGTAGACAGAGAGAGCTCTTACTTGGACAAATACTCATCCCTGCCAGCCATCTCTTTAGGAAGATTAGGAGGTGTGTCAGTGTCTTGAATCTGCAACACGGGAGCCCAATCCTGAAAACCTTTACTTACACAAATACACCTCTACCCCGATATAACACGACCCAATACAACACGAATTCTGATATAACGCGGTAAAGCAGTGCTCCGGGGGGGGGGAGCTGCGCACTCTGGCGGATCAAAGCAAGTTCGATATAACGCAGTTTCACCTATAACGTGGTAAAATTTTTTGGCTCCCGAGGACAGCGTTATATCGGGGTAGAGGTGTAGTCTGTTCTCGTGCAAGTAGTTCCATTGTGTTCAAGGATTTGCAGAAAGTTTTTATATAATGCTGTATGTCTGGCAGGAAAAAAAGATGAATGCCTATGTTAGAAATATTACTGGAGAAAAGCAGATCTTGATATGTACTTGGTCACGTAAGTTGTAGAGATGGAAATAACCGGAGAAAGTTATTATGGAAGGAATGGTGGGGGTCATTGTAGTGGGGGACGACCAGCGAGACAATGATGGATGGATAGTATATGGCAGATCACTGGAAGGTCAGCTGCTCAGCCCTTGAAATTAGCGATGGATCGTGAAGGCTTTAGAAAATTCTGCTATGATGTCACTAATATTAAGACATGAATATATAGATTTATTTACTTACCTACTTATTCATAGTAAAAGCCAGGCAAACAGTACTGTGCCACTTTGCATATAGAATCATTGGCCCCATGTCAAAGCACAGGTGAGGCTGGCCTGGAATAAAGAGCTGGCAAAATAGGCTACCAAGCAACTAGAAAGACGTAGAAAATGAGGCTATATCTATATGTTGGTCCAACTTCCCAATAACCCTATTCACCTACATTGTGGTAAGATAGAATCTCTGTAGGTGCCTATTAGTTACAAAATTCAGAGCTAGATCAAGATTCTGAGCACCCCAATATTAAGGGCTGTTGGTTTTGCTGTGTCTAATTTCTTTAGGCCCAATCCAACTCTCTTTAAAGTCCACAGAAATACTCACATTGATTTCAGTGGGAGTTGACTCGGACTCTGGGCAAGGAACCTCTTCCTTCCTTGAGCATGGAAGAAATAGGGGAAGTTACAGTGTGCCGAATGGATTTGTATAGAATATAGCAGAATGTGACAACACATCCAACATCCTATTGGTCCATCCTTGGCAATCCTCTGCTCTGCCATGGATGATGTAAATTTGGGGCCCATTGCCAGTAGTAGTTGCTGTTGAGATAGTCTGTAACCTTTTTTTTTTTTAAACTAAAGCTGTACTTTAAGGACCATTGCCAGCCTAAACTCACAGTTCTGCCTGGAAGTTACATATGTGCCAGTGCTACAAGCAACACCTAAAATAAGGCTGTGTAGACACTACTAATTATGTTGGTATAACTTATGTCACTCAGGGGTGTGAATACGCCGCCCCCCTGTGCGATGTAAGTTACACCGATCTAAGTGCCAGTGTGAACAGTGCTATGTGGCGGGAGAGAGCTTCTCCCGCCAACGTAGCTACCACCGCTTGCAGGGGCCAGATTAATTAAATTGATGGGAGAGCTCTCTCCTGTCAGATTAGAGTATCCGCACTAGCAGTGCTGCAGTGGCACAGCTGCACCGCTGTAAACTGTGTAGTGTAGCCACAGCCTAAGATAACAATGTCAGAGAGAGATTGGAAGGAAAATGGAGGTGACATTTTTCTATATTTTTGTCCTTAGTTTGTTCGTTTTGTATGTTTGACAGTCTTGTATGGGTCTTTCACACAGAAACAAGGAGATTAAAACTTTTTTTAAAAAACAGGAAAATATGAGTGTAAAACCACAAAAATTATCAGAGTGCTCAAGGACAGGGTTCTACCTCAAACTATTTTACACGTTTTTGTTGTCTGCTTTTAAAAGATTCACCTAGGTTTTTCAGTTTGCTGGATTTTTTTCTGCAGCAGCCTTTAGGACTGCCTCATTTTCCAACAATGAGGTCTGTTAGGTTGTGAAAAAAATCTCTCAGGTATTATGGTGGAAGCCTCTTATTCTGAGACATTTAAAATAGAGACAAAGCACTGTAAATATATTGCACTGACTGGATATTAAGATGGTGTAGAGGACCTAACATGTCTTTTTCCATCTTGATCATTTCTATGGCTGTGTGATAACGTTCATGGTGGATGATTACCATGACAGTTGTAGCAAAAGACACTTGTCCTGCAGTCTAGCTGTTTACAAATAGGGTTTTGAAAAATCTTCCTTTGATTATTGCTCCTGTACCATATTATGTTCAAAGAAATATGAGACTGCTCTCAAAGAGCTTTGTTTAGCTTGTGTTTGATTCTTTCCTCTTCTCTTGTGTGGGTATTTTCTTTTCCACTCTTCTTTGACAAATAAGGATGGATTATGGCCCTATAAAGAGGATTTTGGGTTTTTTGTTTTAATATCCCTCCCTGTGTTCCAACACAACAACACTCTGAAATTAAGTTAGGGGAGCTACTTCTGGACAATGGGTCATCATCTCCTAAGGTAAAAGATGTGTATCAATTAGGCATGCTGTTTGATGCCTTTCCACATGTTCTTGAGCAAACTAGATCTGTCTACCACATATAGACGTCCACATATATGTTTTGTATTTTCATTCTCGCTTACAATGTGTTTACCTTGTTTCTAGGATTAATCACAATAAAAGAGGCCCGTGATATAGAAGCCAGGCTTAATGAAGTGGAGAAGCTTCTGAAGATTATTATAAATATGCCTTGGAAAGTAAGTATGCAAAGTACCACCTTACTGAACTTCAGACCCGGTGGATAGTAACTTGCCCTCTTCATTTAGATGGGAAGGCATGGGGCTGTTTGAGCTTTTGCAGAGGCAGAAGGGGCTGTTCAAGATCCTGCACATCATCTCTCCCTGTATCCAGGGCCGGCTCCAGGCACCAGCCCAGCAAGCAGGTGCTTGGGGTGGCCAAGGGGAAGGGGCGGCACGTTGGGCTGTTCGGCGGTGGGTCCCTCTCGGAGGGAAGCACCTGCCGCCGAAATCCTGCCGAAGAAGAAAGCGGCGTGGTGGAGCTGCTGCTGGAGTGCTGCCGATCGCAATTGCGATCGCGGCTTTTTTTTTTCCCCGCTGCTCTCTCTGTGTTATGAGGGCTGCATCCACACAACATATATATACACTACCTGTATGGTCCTAAGGATGTCACATGGGCTGCAGCTGTGTGCTGATTGGACCACAAGCAGCCGGCAGATTGAGAACCAGTGATCTAAGTAATGTTCTGTTACATAACATTTACTACAAAGTGACCTGTGCATTGCCATGACTATCATCTCCTTGTCTTTCAGGGTAACATATCTGACCTGCATGGTGTGTTGAATTGAGGGCCCAATCTTATAATTAGATCCACATGAGCAGACTCCCATTGATTTCAGTGGGGCTCTGTATGGCACAAGGGTCTACCTCTGTGTTTTCTGATTGCAGGATTGGGGCTGTAGATTGTAAGCTCAGTCAAGCAGGGACCGTATATTTCCCTGTTTTTATTGCACAAGTCACACTGAAGGTGCCCAATGAATAATAATAATAATGGGTATTATTTGTAGTCTTGCCACTGCTACCCCAGGCTTCTGAATGCCTTCCTTTTAATGTTATCCAGACCCTAGATTCAGTCCGCTTTTTAAATTGGACAAGTCACTTAACCTCTCTGTTCCTTGGGTTGCTCATCTGTACAAAAGGTATTATAATATTTATCTCCATGACGAGGCTATGTTGAGGCTTGATTAATGTATGCAAAACACTTAAAGATCCTTGGGAAGATCTTGTAAAAGAGCAATAGCTCTTGAAGTTCAACCACACATGCAGGAGTTGGGAGATGAGTTGCATTCTTGGTCATGGCACTGGCTTTGCTGTATAAATGGGGAAGTCACTGAACATGTGTGCCTCAGTTTCCCCATCAATAAAATGGGGATAATGATACTTTGCAGGGATACTGAGTGATTTTATTCATTTTAAGTGCTTTGAGTTCTTCAAATGGAATGCATCATGAAAATACAACGTATTTTTATTTTATATTTTCAGCCAAGGTCCTATCATATGACAGTGTAGCCAATAGACCATGTGCCAGGCGTGATCATTCTGCCTGACAGTCTTATCGCTATATTTCAGTGTGTCAGATACTTACAAAGTGTGTAGTCACGTCTGCTGTGTCAGTGTCTTTACCAAGGAAACTAACTCATGAGCAAACAAAGCGCTTACTGGGGAAGAAAACTACTTCAGTAATTGGCGACCATGGTGACTGATAACCAATGTGAATGGTTGGTCATTTTGAAATCTGAAGATCATGGATCTGGTTGGCTACTTGTTGTTGTGTAGAGCAAAATGTACTGCACAGAAGTCAGTGGAGTTACACTAGTGAAAAGGAGTGCAAGCGAGAGGAGTTTCAGACTTCATGAGATTTTTGGCATGTCCAAATGAGTTCAGTGTACTCTCCCACCCTCCCCCACTGGACAAATAAGTTTATTATAAGGAACATTAACTATATTTTATACAAAGTGCCTAGAAAATCACTGATGGGCAAGTAACAAAAAACAAAAATAAACGCGCCCATTAAGTAGTCATAATTTATTAGACAAACCCTGAGAGACACTGGGCATCTGGAATGCCTAATGTAGTCAATGGGAGTTGCATGTTGTCAATAGGAATTGCATGTATTCAGCATTTCTCAAGATTTGGCCCAGTAACAGGTGGGAGGTAGGGGATAATAGGATAAACAAACCAAGCGGTGCGTCTGGGACTTAAACTTTGAAAATATATATTTCTTTGGTTCTTTTTCAGTATTCTAGATCTGAAGTTGTCCTTACCTTCTTTGAAAGATCTCCGTTAGATCAAGTGTTAAAAAATGACAATGTCCATAAAATTCAACCAAGCTTTCAGAGTCCGGTTAAAATATCAGGTAAGAATTATTAGCTCGCTAGAATGCACACAAGAATTATTAAATTAAAATATTTGTCTGTTCTTTCTCTCCCCTCCCTCCTCAACATTTCAGAAGAAACCCTTCATCCCCCACTTTCGCCATGCTCTTGCCTTCTAATGTATGGAATATCATAAGGGCAAACATTCTATGCAGCAGAGCTATAGGCATGTTGAGATGACTCTTTTGGGAATTATACAATCTTCAGACTCTTCTTTCCGCTGCTTGGAGTCCATTAGCCATTCCTTGAGAAGGCCGTGTCCTTGTGCTGTCCGTACCGTTACATCGCAATGGAAAAACTGAGAGGACATGAACTAAATAAAGTATATTTCTATAACATGCAAAATGGTCACATTTTGTACTAAGGGTGTATTTATAAATATTTTAAGAAGGGTTAATACGAGATGAAAAGCTGTAGAAGACATGAGTAATATATCTTACAGATAGTTGTAACTACATCAGTACAATAGAAGATTTCGTACATGATTATATGCCATGGTTAGGAGTAATCATTTGTTAGAGTTTATTAACCCTTTATAAATGATTTATAAATGTACCCTTAATATAAAGCATGACTGAGAAATTTAACAGCAGACCTACCTGTATAAACAATGGTGAAGAGCATCAAAAAAATTAAATGAAACACAAGAGCAGGTGTAAGTGTGGAACATTGATTCCATGCCCGGTTTGGATTCCATGTACAAATTCAGTCTCCTCTTCAGTGGAGGGTTTGTGTGTCTGTCTCTTCAGGTATCTACTCGTATGCTTGCGGGAGAGAGGGAGGGCGTGAATACATTTTCTGTACCTAATTCTCCTTGACCAGGATGTGAGTCAAGTAGAGGTGGATAAATTCATTAATCTAAACAAAAAAAAGTAGGTTTTTCCTATATTGGTACATGACATGTGCAAATGTATCCCAAGAGGGAGTAAATGCAAACACAGAAAATCAGTCATTTGTTATTTATATCATCTTGCAAAATTTAGCTTGTTTAGGATCTGTTTTTAGTCATTTTACTAATGTACAGAACGAACTGTGATAAAGATGTCTAGGCCAATTCTAATGGCAAAGATATGAATTTCTAGACAGGTTATGTATACGTTAATTAGAAATTACATATACCATTTCTGTGCACAGTTCTTGCATCGGTCACCCACTTAAGTGCATGATGTGCTAGACTATATGCCATTTATTTTGCTTCTATATATCTGAAAATGTTCTCTGAAAATACACTAAAGAGCATATTCAATGGGACTACGTGTAGAGTAAGTTGCTACTCGGTGTCAGTAAGGGTGGCAGAATCTAGCCTTAAGAATATATAATGTGAAACAAAGTGCTCTTAAACAATATACTTTAAAAGAAAGTCTAGGAAAAATTGCAGTTTATAATACTGGAAATTGACATACTGGGTCTGATTCCCTTGACACTTATACTGGTATAAATCAAGTATAACTCCATTGGGGCTGAACTGGTTAAACCCTGGAGAATCAATTTTTTTGTTTTTGTAGGGTTTAATGCTTGTTTTGTTCTCTGAAGAAAAATGTAGTTAAAGGTAACTACTTAACAATAACGTAGTCTGTGTGCATCTCTGCATGCCTGACATGATGGGTCCAAAAGCAGATGGAATGTGGTCATTAAGCAATAGTCTGGGCACCATTCTGTTGCAGGTCTAAGAGTACAATAAGATGGCAGCTACTAGTTCTGGTGCTGCTCCCTCTTACACTGGTGTAAATCAAGCATAACTTTGTGGAAGTCACTGAAGTTACACCAAACTGGTGTGACAAGAGAATGAGGGTCACTGTTATTTTTAATAGTAGGTAAAGAATTGTGTGGAGACCACTATCTTAATTCTCATGTATGAATGCTCAGATACAAAGAGTGAAGCCTGGACTAGCGGTCAGTAGATTCGGCAAGGCCTATGCATAGAGGAGCTATGGAAACAATGGGACCTGAACAAGAATATGTTTTTAAATCCCAAATTAACTCCTACAGTTTATAGTCAGGCCCTACAGTTTATAGTCACGCCTGACTTGATTTGTTTTTTCCTGTCTGTCTGGGTATTCAAAAGCGCTCTGTGGTAGTCAGTCTTATGTACTGACTGGCTGTTATAAAGAATTTCAAAACAAAGTCCAGAATCTGATGTTTAGTTGACACAACCTTAGTCTGAATTTTGCACACTGAAATGACTGCATTGTTTAGTTGATGGTTCCAGCAGATGGCACTAAAGGTTAACTTCTAAACTGCTCTGTACTGCAGGAGTAATGCTGTAATATTCTTAGGTCACGTCAAGGACACTTGGAAAAAACTGTGACATGCAGGGCTTGCTTTACATTGGATCTAATACAACTCTCTAGGTGACTTGTAACCTCAGAATACTCTGCAAAAATATTTTGTTTTCATTAAAAGAAAACAAACTGTGTCCAACACAGTCCACTCCAGATTAAAATATTTGAAACAAACAAAACTCACCAGATGAAAGCAGAATCTGATCCTTGAGTTTGCATCTCAATCTACTGAACAATGTTTGACAGTGAGTCACAGCTGATGTGGAATTCTGGAGGGATTCAATGTAAAACCACTCACATATACATTCTATTCAACTTGGGTGCAATAAAAAATAGACTAGAAGTCAGAGATTAATTTTTCCACATAAACATGGAGGCACATGAGTGTTAGTCTGAATGCAAAAATGTATCTTTATTGTAAAAAATTCAAACCTCAGGTCTTTTCACAACTAAGGTTGGCAGGTATCACAGGGTGGCAAACTCTTTGGGTTCAAGATGCAAACCTTTTGTGTCCAGACCCACGCCACCTAACTTTCAACAGCAGGATAGTTCCCTGTTGTTCTTGCAGATAATTCTCAGAACTAACAAATAGAGCCTGGTTCTCCTCTTAATTTGGTGTATATTAGGAAAAAATCTATTGAGATCAGTGGCAGTGTGAAATGAGTGCAAGTGAGAGGAGAATCCAAGGATGTGCCAGCCCCAGTATACTTTTGCTGCTCCCAGTGAATGAAAAGGTGTTCTAATGAACATGAGGCTAAAATCTCTGATGTAAATGGGTAAGAAACCATTAAAGACAGTGCTGCTGTATCCATGTATACCGGTTGAAAATTTGCCCCCTGAAATGTAACTTGGTTTCATGCAGAATTTATAAAGTAAATGCAGGTATGTTTCTTCACTTCCAGCCTGAGAGCTTTAACTTTGAAGTTTAGTTAACTTATTGTTAATTGTAGGAGTGTTAATTAATGATCACTCATTTGAGTTGCAAGTGTTGGGCCTAATCTTGATTGAAATCAATGGCATTCATGCCCAAAAAGTGTAAGCTTGCTGGAGTGATCTTGCTGAGTATGATATCATAACTTCGTGTATTCACTTAGAGCTGAATCTAGTGCCCCATAAAGTCAATAGGTGTCTGTCCACTGATTTCAATGGGGATTGTGTCAGACCCTTCTACCTATAAAGAATGACTGTAGAATTGAGCCATTCTGAGCTGGTAGCATTTGCAGAGAGGTAATGACTACACGAGGCTCAAGGCAATAGAGAATTGGGCCCAAGGAAAATTGCTGTTGGAAAACTTATTGTTTAACTTACTTTCAAGGTTGTTGTTGATTTAGTGTTGTAATTATTTCTTTTCTTCATCTTTTTGTTTAATTATGATAACTTGCTGTCTGGGAAGAATACAATCAAGAGTACAGTTGGATTATAACCTTATGGAGCAGATGCCACTCCATTGAACTGGCACAGGCTTTAATGGGAGCAGAATTTGGCCTTCTCCCAGATGGGAAGATTTGTTAAATATTCTCGCATTAGGGTTCTGAACTGCAAATATTCAAGCACATGAGTTCAGTAGGACTGATCACAAGTAAAATTGCTCAGGTGTTGCTCAAGTGGCTATGAAGCCAGCAAATGAGTCCAGCTCATCATTAAGCTACAAAATAATAAAGACTTTTTCTTTTAAATTAGCTTGCACAGATATTCACTGACACTTCAGTATGTCCTGTTTGCAGCAATGTCAGCTTTGTGCGATGTGCAGCCACCCTATTCCTGCCCCGTCGCCCTCCCCCTCCCCCACCTTTTCTGGAACCATCTCAGACTTTCAGCATTTTACCTGTTTCTTCCCTTCTCCCACAGAAATCATGCGATCTAATGGATTTTGTTTAGCAAACACTGAAACAATAGTTATTGACCACAGTATACCAAACGGAAAAGACAAGCACCTGGATGTAGATTCAGCAGAGCACTTGTAAGTATACGTTGTTCCCAAGTATTGGTGTCTTTAAATTAATTGTAACCTTCTCCTAACAAAATTTTAGTACCCAGACAAACGCAGTGCTGTGGGAAGACCTGTGTTGGTAAAATTGCCAGTCTGGCTGATTAAAGGTTGGTTAGTTTGGCTGGGCTGTAAGGATCTGTCTATGCTGCAGCTGGGAGTGAGCCTCCCAGCCTGGGTAGACAGACTTGTGCTAGCAGGGCTTAACCTGCTATGCTAAAAACAGCTGTGTGGACATTGCAGTGCCGACAGAGGCTCAGGCTCCCAACCCGAGCTCGGACCCAGGGAGCAGGGTAGGCCTGAGCTCGGGTGGCTAGCTGGAGCGTACACCATGCTGCAACATCTACCCAACTATATTTGGCATGCTAACGTGAGCTCCACTAGCCCAACTCTGTCCACCTGGGCTGGGGGGGCTCATCCATAGCTGCAGTGTAGACGTACCCTAAGGGCCCATTGCAGCGGTCATAAAAATCAATAGAAAGACTCCCAATGGGAGTTGCAGTGTCCCTAAAGGAGACTGGCCCTCTTCTGATGGAAAAACTATGGATGCAACGTGGGTCCTCAAGGGTGATAGGTACAAAGGGTCTGATCGGTGCGACAGAGTGCTGAGAACCAGTAGCTGACCCAGCACTCTGATCACTCAGCTTTAATTAGTTCCCCCAGAAAAGGCCTGCTGGAGGAGTGGCGTATTTCTTTACAGCTTTTACTAAACACTCTCTTGCGCTTTTTGAGCCTGGCTCTTTACAGCTTTTCTAATCAAACTGGGGGATGAGAGGACTGATGAGCTAAGGAGCTAATTATCCTATTAGCTGAGAGGGTAGTTAAAAAGCACGGAAAGGAAGTGCAAGGGGGGATGCTAGCAGAGTTCAGAGGAAGCAAGAGGTCGGGGTGGTGAGAGCGCTCTCTAGAGAAAGGGCTGAGGACTAGGGGAAACTGCAGAGAGAGTTGCTGCATAGGATAATGATGGTGGTTTGGTGTAGGTAATATCAATAAAACTCATGGAGGTGCTAGCAAACAGAAAGCATTCCAGGTTGTTTGTGTGGGATCTCAGAACAGGAGCGGACACTGGCCTGTTACACTTTGTCTTTGGTGAGAGCTGGATTGACCCCAGTGTGTGGAAAAATGAAGGATCCTTAGAGAAGTGAAATCCTCCTAGGAGGCAAGTAATTTATTACTCAGTAACTAAAATATACCTTCTTATTTGTGATTGCTTCCCCTTTGGGTCTGCGTTGTAGGCACTTTGGGGATAAAGCTTTCAAATAGAGTTTGAGATGATGAGTATGTTGACAGACTAATTTTTATGGAAAGCCATTCCTGTGAAGTTCTGTCATGCCAACTGATTGATGTTTCACTTTAATAGCTTCAACTAGATGGAGTAACAGTGTATTCAAGAATTTTAAATATTTGGAATGAAAAACATTGAACTACCCATTAGTCAAGCCAGTAAAAACCAAGGAAAACAAGGGAGGAAAAACATCACGGATAAAATGGACAGAAGCTTGGTCTCCGAACTTAAGGTCTTTTCTAAACTTCATTTAGATTGTGATCTGTATCAGTTTGCTAAAGGGTTTAAAGCAGGGGTCTCAAAGTCCCGGCCCACGGACCATCTGCGGCCTGAGAACCTCCCCCCTTGTGGCCCACGGGGCTCCAGCAATTTTGGGGCTGGGTCTCTCCTTTGATAGGGTGACCAGACGTCCCGATAAAATCGGGACCGTCCCGATATTTAGGTATTTGTCCCGCGTCCCGATTGATCTTCGGTCGGGACGCTGTACTCCGCTTTTTTTTTTTTTTT